AAAAAAAAAAAAAAAACAAGGAAAATAGGACGATTAAAGCTGCAAGTGAAGAAGTTGGCTGCTCAGGTATTACAAAAAGTGCATTATCGAAGGGTGTCTTTTTTCACCCTGCGGATCTATTTGAGCTGGTCGACCTTTGTCAATACACAAATTCCAGCTGGTTTACGATTTTCCAACCAGCGCCAGTCGTCATCAGTTTCCGTTCTAGACATACTACTTAATATCTTCGCGTCAGTTGTATTACCATCGCGAGGTTCGCCATGTGTCGAAGCACTTTACTCGATTAATAAATATTTCATTTGAACAGCATATTGGGAACAAACTTTCTTACTTTGGTAATTACTTCATCTTTAGAATTTCCACCAGTTAATTTCCAAAGGTGTTAACTTTAAGCTGAGTTAAGACCTAGTTTAAAGGATCTAAGAATTGTAATTGATTATCTTTATAAACTAGACCTTATGGTTGAATCTGAGGAACTTTTTGATCTATTTTTTGAGGCCATAATCAATTCAAATTACATGAATTGGTCATAGGGTAGACTCAGACAATCGTCTTATTCTAAAACAAGCTCAAGATTTACTTTCTACAATAATGGGAGTTCCTGAAACTTTTGAAAAAAAAAATTTGACTCGGAAATAACATTATCTGCCACACTTCACTCATTTTTGTTAATTGATTCTTTCTCGACTTTTCATTAACCTTCCATCGTGAGTGTTCTTCAAATTACCATTTCTTTTAGCCGCATACCTTTTCTTAGTGTGGTACTTGTCAGCCTGGTTCTAAAATTTTTGGCGGGTCTAGATCGCTGTCTGCCACTAATCAATAAAACAGTTCACTTTTACTAAAAATTAAAAAGTATTTGAATTCATTTTTTAAAATTAGTGGATAGTTTAAAAACCCTTCATTTAATATCAGTCTACTGTAAGGATAGATAGGAAGAAGAAGGGAATCTTATATTATGCCAACAAGCAGAGTGATCTAGGAATAAATTGGTTAGAACCACTAGAAATGCAGAAGGGTCTCCTACAAGAGTGAGCTGGCAGGAAGCGAACCGTGTAATATTGAAAGGTTTCTTCAATATACTATTTAACACGGAAGCTCTACGGTACAATGAGGTTCGGCGGATGCTTCATAAAATTCTAAGTAAACCGTGGTGGATAAGAGGTAGAGTTTCACCACAACATAATAATTTGGTATCGAAGGATAATCTAGTTTGTTAATTGTAGAGGTCCTTGAGTTGGAGTGGCTTGGAAGGGTAACGTTAATTAAGAAGTACCAATGTTCGTGTTGGTACTTATTTTCTCTCTTAAAAGGATGTGTTTATTTGTTGAACCAACGACGTTTTTCATAAATCTTCAAATGTTTTGGTTGAATAAATTTAAAAAACAGTTCGTTTTTATTTACTTTGCTCTATACCGCCGGCAAACTGCTTACCGATCTTGTTCTTTTTTGTCAGGATTTTTTTCGTAATGTCATTTATTAAATATCGGATTGATACACTTTTTTTAAAAATGCTTCGTCGCCGAATTGGCTGACGTGGATGAAATGGGAAGTGGGTGTTGAATTGTTTTCATGGTGATTCTACGGCAGTTATAACGTTTTTTTTAAATGCTTTTTTGGTTGCCTGCTGTTTTTTTAACCCAAACTCATTTCTTGATTTGATAAAATGCATGCGCTTACTTTTCCTATTGTCTTCATTAATTAGCATTTACGTAAATAAATATTAGAGTTTCTGGTTGTGCGATAAGCTGAGGCGGCAAGTCGTATTCTTTAAATTGAATTTATTCTTTTTGAGAACACCGGAGAATTTACCGTTTACCTCTAACTACACTAATAAGCTACAGTTCCGTTCTTCTTCCAACGGCGAGTAGAAATCTTATTACGGAAAAAGCATGCTTAACCATTCTTGACCACTTTCCTGTTCCTTCCTATCAAAGAGTGAATCAGGTTTGCATTTTTTTCCTGTCAAGTTGACCGCTTTAATTTTCTCCGTCTCTTCTTTTTCTTTTATAGGTATATGGAGAAGTCAGTTCGATTTTTCAGGGTGAGCTGACTATTTCACAAAAGTGTTGACGTCGGAGACTTTTACAATCCAGTCTCTGGTAGCAATTTCTGCTGGAAGCAGGAACAGCTGGCCAGATTTAAATATTTCCGTGAACTTTACAAAGAAAAATGAACTGTTTACATTGTCACAAAGATAGATTTTTGAAGAAATTGCATACAGTTGCAGTGTACAGGCACAGTTATAATGTTTATCTGCTTCGGTTAACAGTCGATAGTAAATAAGAGGAAAAAGATGAGAGCTTTAAAACAATCAACTATCAGTTGTTAAACGTGTAACTGAAAAAAAACTTTGCCCTTCCGTGGTAAATAATAGGTTCATTCGTTATATGAGTTTCTTGCTGCATGTGCTAGATTTCAGAAGGCAGTAAAATTGACTTTTAGTGAAATCTTCTTTGCTTAGAGCTTCAGGAGACCGAGTTCGTTAGGTATTTTGGTCATTGAATTGGTGATACCGTAAATTGAAGCAAACGGAACTTTTACAGCAACAGAAAAAGGATATTTATTATTAAATAACGAAAGAGCTTTGAATGTTGGTGCCTTTCTGCTTCAGTAATTTTATCACTTTTTTACAGTACAAACTTCCAGTTCGAGTAGTTTAGAAAATCTGGTTTGAGTGAAATAAAAAAAGGCAGGATAGGAACAAAGACAGGTGAAGAAATTTTATGAAATGCTGTAGAATAAAAAATATTAGAAGGAGAACAACAACGGTAAAGCATCTAAGTTTCTTTATGTTTAAAAATTTAACGAGGGCGAGAAGAAGCAAAAACTGAACAAGCTTTAAGAATTGTTTCTCAGCGAACTGGAAGATATTATTATTGCTGCTTTTCAAATGAGAAGGGTTTCCAATGATATTAGCAAGGTTAAACATACAAAATCCTAGCAAGCAGTCACTGTATCAAAACTGATTATAGCATCAGCATTTAACAGATAGCTCTATAACTCTGTCAACTACTTGCAGCAACCAGTTGCAGTTAACTAGCAGCGCGGCTAACGACAATTAGTCAAATGTAGTTTCTGCACCTTAATTTCCCTTAATGAAGACATAAAATTTACCTAAATAATAAGTCAACATCTTAGGAGATTATTATCACGGGCGACTAAACTTTTACCTAGGACTTAACTAACGTCTTTACCCAGATTTTGTTGTTGCTGTTGCTGAAAAGATTTGATTACAGTATGCAATGCTGCTTTTAAAGACACGTGGATACGAATCTGCATACGTGACAAAATATAACTGAAAGATTTTTGTTGGTTAAAAGAAAGGGAAAACTAAAGTCAAAATCGTCAAGACGACATTTTATATTAATCAGTTTTCCTCTATTACTTAGAAGAATTGCAGTTAAAAGTTTAAAAGTAAAAATATTATAACTTTGTATACTCGGAGTATTGAATGCACTGGAGAGGCTAAAAAGACAAATCTTTTAAAGACACTTCATAAACATTCGAAAAGCACTGATTAAGCAGTCTTTTACCTTCAAAAAAATAGATTTTAATTATAACAAAACATTCCTTAAGAAATTATGACACATTAAGTGATACAGGAGGTTCAAGCATTGTTAATAATTTGGTGATAATCTCAATTTAGTTATTCACCCGATTTCTTAGTTAGGTTTGTTGCCGGTGAAACTTTTTGCTTTGATGAATTCGTTTGGGTAATTTCGGCTTTCTTAAATCTATTACATGTGATCAGCGCTAATAAATGCCGACGAAAATCTGGTCGAAATATAACGAAAACAGGTAAATTTAGCGTTGAACTAAGCGCGTATAAACAGTATACAAGACCTGCAAATAAAAAATAACTCAGTTTTTCAAACTTAGAGCATTGCAAGAAATTTTTCATCTAAAAAAAAGCAGATACTCGTTATCAAACTCAACTGATGTGAATTTCCTGTTCAAATCCTTGGTTTGCAGTGTCCACAATTATAAATACCCAAAAACTTGAGGAAAAGAGGAAATCAAAAGCGAAATGTGTTATATTGATAAGGCTTTGAGATCACACTGACTCACGGTTTTAAGAAAAAAGAAAAAACAGTTGGTATGCGTAATTGTTAATGTAACATCTGTAGCTTCAAATTGCTCTCGAAAAAAAATTGTTTCTTTAGCTAAGGTAAACGTCTTATTACAGTATAAAAGCTCTCGCTGTTTTACAACAACTGCAACGTCTCTGTTGCAATGGTAAACTGTTTACCTAAGCTCTGCTATCTTAACAGTTTTGAAATTTTAAGATTAAAAGTGCTTAATACAAATCAAAATTTAACTCAGGAAACTTGCATTTTAATCTGCTAAAATCATCCTACTTTTATAACTTTTCTCCTAATGTGAAGAAATCATTAGGAGACGGTTAAAAAAAAAGTTATGGTCAGCAGTTCAGAACCTTTTTTTTAATGTAAAATAATATAAAAGCATTGAGCAAAATTTATAAGCTCTGCGTTAACCATGAGGAGGCTTAAAATATATTTTTTCAAAAATTACTGCGCTTTTTTAAGGTCAAATTATTCATAGAATTATGTGAGGTAAGAGTTATCAAGGTTTAAGGTAGTGTAAGTAAAACTTGCCTCCCATTAATGCCGATGGTTCAGAATTCGTCCAAATTCCTATCAGGATGG